TTATTCCATCACATCACCTTGCAACTAAATAATGAATTTTAAAAAGATTGGAAACTTTTTTAAAAATTCTAATTAAAATTTAATTAAAAATGACAACAATTCTTGTAAGAATTTATTATCGAAAATAATGTTTTTCTTAAATTCGATATAATTTCTTATTTCTATAAACATTATATTTAGTGGCTACACCTATTTAAGTTCGACTTCCTGTATTTTTTTTTTTTTTTGGTGGTTGGGAGGAGGGGGGTGGATAAATAATAAACTTTAACCAATAGTGAAAAAAGGCTTTAGAAATTGCTTCATTTACTTTCAGCACACGAAACAACATTTGTATGGTTCGAGAGTCTGAGAAATATTTGCGTTTATAAGGCACTATTCAACTTTGCTGGATTATCGACGCATTTCGTGGCCGTGCCGGTTAAAGACCGTTAGAACTGATGGCGGTCCATCCTGCCACGAGTAATGCAGATTCGAGTTCTGCTGGAGAGCATATGTTTTCTTTAATAAGTTTTTTCCAATATTCTCTTATTATATTTCCACTTTGTCTCGTCATATCCACAAACACATATACACACACACACATACACACACACACACACACACACACATATATATATATATATATATATATATATATATATATATATATATATATATAAAATATTAGTGGAAAATATACATACATATGCAAAATATATAAAAAAAATACCCATACATGTATATTTTCAGAAAAAAAATTTTACAAGAGGAAGAATCCAGGTAGAACTCAATGTCTAGGACAGAATAAGGATATAATAAAAAGGCTTAAACACTAATATTCCATGGTCATAATTTATTCCATTGGAATCGTAAATTTACGATTCCAATGGAATAAATTATGACCATGGAATATTACTGTTTAAGCCTTTTTTATATATATATATATATATATATATATATATATATATATATATATATATATATATACAGCAAAATTGTCCAATTGTTAGATTAAGCTTTGAACAGTTGTATCTTAGAAATGATTAAAGATATCTTACTGGAATTCTCCGAGGTTTGTATAACACTATTGGACTCTACTTTGAGCAATAAGAATGTATTTTACACTAAGTTGAAATGATGGTCCCTCCTCCTGACCCAGTTTTCCTCTCTACTGTTCCCTCTTTTTTAAACTTATTCACCGTTCTCTCGATGGTTCTTGAATGGAGTTTAAAGATGGAAGCCAGAGTATGAATGTTGGTACCATTACTAAAGGACTGAATGATCTTTTTCTTCCCACCATTGCTCAGTTGGAAGACATAATGGGCTGACACAAAACGATTTCAACCTCATCTCTTATTAGCTGAACAACTCAAAAGTGTTTTTCAGTGATTCTTACGTCAAATGGTATCAAGATGGCTGTCTTGTCTGAAAACCTGGAAAAAAAGAAACTCAATTTAGTATTTTGTAGAATAGACAATTATCTCATGCTGTTACACAATTTTACTCGTGGTATATATATATATATATATATATATATATATATATATATATATATATATATATATAGGTGTGTGTGTGTGATAGGACATAGAATTAAAACAAAATTGTTTATAGGCTGTTAATAGGATGCAGACAGATTAAGAACGAAAATGGAGAAATCAGACATGGTCCTGACCTGAATTCGCCTACATAACGAAGATGAAACGCTTTGTCAATGAAAATGTTTTCCAATTTTCTAATAATACACACACACACACACACACACACATATATATATATATATATATATATATTATAATATTTTTTTAAATATGATTCCTTCGCTACATAAGAGTTCTCATGTTTCAAAAGGAGAGCCGAAACCATTCCTAAATTTTCGCCTGAGGATGAAACGGGACCCAACACCTTGATTCAACTTAATTTTAATAATTATTTGGATGGTTTCGGCTCTCGTTTTTGAAATATGAGAACTCTTATGTAGAGAAGGAATCATATTTAAAAGAAAAATATTATAATATAAGCTCTACTTCTGTATGGAGCACTGTCTTCTTAAAAATAAAAACAAAAATACTAAGGAACTCCAGATTATTTACTTGACGTATTCCTTCCTATTTTTCTGCATACTTGTGCGCGCGCACACACACACACACACACACACACACACACACACACACACACACACACACACACACACACACACACACACATATATATATATATATATATTTATCAGATTTTTTATCACTTTAAACGTTATTTTTAGTGGATACTCATATTTGAGTAGACCCTGAATGTTTGATAATTCTTATTAAAGGCTTGTAGACGAAAATAAATAAATATACTGTTTAATAAATAAACGGAGCGTCTACTAAAATGTGGGTATCCACTAAAGATCACAAAAAAATTATACTTAAATGAAATTGTTTTGAGCGGCTTGTATATTTATGGCCATTGATGTCACTGGTTCTCCATAGTTGAGATGATGAAGCTTAAGATCTTGTATATCTTGCAGAAGCAACAACAAATGTGGATAAGAACGAAAAAGAATGAAAAACAAATGTGAGTTCATTTCCCTTTTTTTTATTGGAAATTCGCCAACTTATAATTCAACAAGAAAATGTCCTTATCCGCTACAAGGAAACTCAATAGATATACACATATGTAGATGTTTTCAGGTACATAAAAATGCAGCGTAACAAGTTCAGTGGTGAACAAGCGGCGTACGTATTCTTCCTCATCCAAATGTATTCTTCCGCCGCGGCGTATGTACGAGGCAAAAGACATAACTCGAAACAAGATTAATGGAGATTGCGCTGTAGGTCGGAACTGACGTGACTCGGAGACTTACTATATTATTATATTGTATATTCATCATTATTTTTTATTTATTTATCGGAACGTACCCCCGATTTTCAGTGAATAAGCACCCACTCACCAACACTTGATTATGGCGTACAACCAGGAACTGACCCAGGAAACCGTAACTATGCAAAGATGGACGGACAAAGATGGCGTACTGATCATTTCCGGCCCGGACAATTGCGTTCCTCGAGAAATGTATCCTTGGATAATTGCGTACCTCTGATAAATCTTTGAAGTTACCATTTTTTTTTAAAGAGTTATTTGATATAGAAATTTGCACACCAATGCCTTTAATTACTATAAACAAGCCGGAAGGTAGTTACTATTAATAAAAAAGAGAGAAAAATTTATTTTTTTAAAGCAAGAAAAAATTAAGCTAAATGTTTCAGTTCACTCCAGCAGGGTGTAGCACAAACATCTAATAAATTCTGGATTTTATAGCTTATATTTTTATTTGGAACCCATGGCTAAGTTCCGAAAATCAAACACTGATCTGGTATCTCGACTGCAGTCGCTCTCTCACAGACGTACCGTCGCCTCCCTCTGTTTTTTTTTTTTTTTTACAAATACTTTCACGGTAACTGCTCCGATGAGCTGCTTTTGCTGGTTCCCAGACTTCATGAATTTAAGCGTTCTACGAGGCTGGCATCCCGCTCACACACTTTCACTGTTGAAACTGTTAAATGTAGCCGTCTCTTCTACTCCAATAGCATCATGTCTCGCACCTCTCGCCTGTGGAACTTTCTCCCCTCTTCCTGTTTCCCTGATAACTATAATCTCCAACTATTTAAATGACAATCGACGTCTCCGGATGCCCTGATCTATCCCCTATGCTTTTCTTCATCCTTCCCTCTATCACTCCTATCGACGTCTCCAGATGCCCTGATCTATCCCCTATCCTTCTCTTCATCCTTCCCTCTATCATTCCTATTTGCTCTCGCTCCAACTCTCTGTAACCCCTTGCATGCTAGTGGCTTCCCGCCTTGCTTGGGGTGAAAAGCTTAAAAAAAAAAAGAATAAAAAATTTGTGGACGAGAAAAATTACTGCTACCACTCTCATAAGAAAAAGACCGATGAAAAAAAAAACATACTGGCAATATGTGGAGCGATCTTGCAACACTGTTAATCTGTCATTGTATTTTAAACAAAAATAAACTTATTTTTTAATTTTATTCCTTTTTTAAAAAACTTATTATTACGGCCTATGCTTTTTTTCCCCAGTTTATGGTAATTGCTTTTAAAAGCTTCACAAGACTCGGACAATACCATCATCCTTACTGATCCTGAGTCCGTGCTGAACCGCCAGAAAATCCATTCCCAGAGCCTTCTTCTACAACCACGCCACCATGATGGAATACCTCCTGCGAAGCATCCCCAGCATTGGATATCACTTCCCGCAACCTTCCGTCAACTGAAAGGATCCTCTTTATGAAACCCAGAAAAGCTCCCAAACTGGACAATGTGTCCCTGGATTTTTTTTTTCTCTCACGGTGGCCTCAAACTGAAAACACGTCTAACGCTCATGATACAGAAAATCTGCGAAAATTCCCTGAAGACTTTTAAAATGCCAACATTGTGACAACCTTCAAAAAAAAAAAAAAATAGGCACCTCTCACTCTGCGGAAACTATCGTGGCATCTCCTTCTTAAGCATTGCTGACAAGCTCTTTGCGTGAATATTACTGAATCGACTCCGCCCATGGAAGAAGAAATCCTTCTGTAATCCCACTGTGGTTTCCGGCCTTCGAGAATCACTGCTGACATGGTCTTCTGTGTGTGACAGCTCCGGAAGAAGAGTCGTGAGCAGCAAAACCACTGATGTTCTTCTGATGAGATCTCCAGAAGGTATGTGACAAAGTCCCAACACCAGCAATGTGGGCCACTCTTGCTCGCTTTAGCTTCCCGGATTGCTTCGTGTCTCTGATCCGTATGCTCCATGACGGAACAGAGGGTCGAGTGAACCATAGGGGTGTCCTCTAGGACCGTTTCCAATTACTTAAACAGGTCTGTGTAAACAAGATCAGACGAAAATTGGAGTACAATTTCCATATATAGGCTGTAAATATTTATTTTTTTTGTTTTTGTTTTTTATTTTGATATAAACCTCATATCGTGACTTATTGGGGCATCGTCCATTTTGTTTTTCAATTTTGTGTGCGCGGGTTCAACTGCTTGGTTCAGCATGATGGAGATACCCCAGTGATAATTCGGCCTGACTCTCTTAAGATCAAAAATCACAACGTGGGTAAGAGAGGTCATAGTTGAAGAGGTCAACTTAAAGACCAGCTGCAGTGTCAAACGCCACCAACAACAGACGAGATAACGGCTTGTTCTCCGATACCAGGATCGATCCTGACCAATCAAGAAGGCTGCGGTCCCGGCCACGCCGCTATAACTTCTGCCGAGACCGGGATTTGACCCTGAATGCCGCCATAACTGGTGGCCGTGACCAGGCGGAGACCCGGAATACGCCATATTTCCAGTCTTCACTTTCGGTTCTTCACTTTTCAGTCCTCACTTTTCAGTCTTCTGTTTTTAGTCTTCACTTTCCAGTATTCAAATAGTTACAATACCTCAACTCAGAAATATAGACAGATCCTGAAGAAGACCAGAGCATACAACGGCCGAAACTTTATGAATATGGCAACAAAGAGGACAACAGTCCGACAGTCCAAACAAAGTAAATAGTTACAATACCTCACCTCAGAAATATAGACAGATCCTAAAGAAGGCCAGAGCGTACAACGGCCGAAACATTATGAATATGGCAACAAAGAGGACAACAGTCGAACAGTCCTAACAAAGTAAATATTGTAAGTAGTTACAATACCTCACTTCAGATATATATATATATATATATATATATATATATATATATATATATATATATGTATGTGTGCGTGTGTGTGTGCGTGTAATATGTATGTATATATGTATTAATGTATATTTGGGCAGAAACCGTTTTCAAGCATCTTTCGTTAAATAAGGTAGACAAGGAAAATTTAATTAATTTTTTATTTAGTCTTTCCAGAGGGAAAATGGCTAAAGAAGTGGACAAAAGCGTTTGGGCCAACAGACGATAATGGAAAATTTTTGTACTCCATTACTCCCACCAAACAGAAAAATGTATGAACGCTGGAAGAACTAAATAAAAAAATTAATTAAATTTTCCTTGCCCGCCATATTTAACGAAAGATAGATATGTATGAAAACTACTAATAAATATACATGGATCATTCTTTTTCTTTTTTCTTATTGCTACCAGCACTCACTGTGCCAGATAGATAGATAGATAGATAGATAGATAGATAGATAAAGTTAGAGGGAGAAGCTAAGATGAATGGATAGATAGATAATGAACCTATTGTGATAGATAGATAGATAGATAGATAGATAGATAGATAGATAGATAGATAGATAAAGTTAGAGGGAGAAGCTGAGATGGATGGACAGATAGATAATGAACCTATTGTGATAGATAGATAGATAGATAGATAGATAGATAGATAGATACGCTTAACCGGAAGTAAGTTTTCAACTCGTTGTATGACAGTTCCCCGAGACCTGTATGAATACCCCCCAACAACAACAACAACTAACCTATATTTTTAACTTTTTTTTTGATTTTGCTTTGACCGTTCTTTTAATTAGTTCAAAAGAGACATACCTATAAGATCTTAATTTCAGGATCCCCTCGACTCCATCTTTAATAAGCCAACTAAACATATTGTTTTCTATTTTCAAATTTAAATCATAATCATCAAAAAGTTACCGAACATTGCCTAATGACGTAATAAAATTTTGAGTCTCGAAACATTAATTTCCGTCTTGCAATGTAAAATATTTTTGATAAAAATATAATTAGAATATTATGCTCGATGTTTGCATTGAGCATTTAAAAAAAAAAAAAAAAAAGTAAATGCCTGAGAACTGTGGATTCTAAATCTGCTTGTTTTTTCTTCATTTGTATATATATATATATATATATATATATATATATATATATATTACAATGAATCATTCATACAAAAAGTAGATAAGTAAAGTTAATGATATAAAATGGCGAAATCCATTCGCTAGCAAAATTTTAAAAGTGCACTAACCTACAAATCACTAGATGAATGTTATGATTCTTGTTTTTAAAAATTATAAGCTATATAAGGTCTTTCTTTAATACGCAAGTACTTTTAACTGTACATTTAGTCATCATCAAGCATGGAAATTTTTTTTTTTTTTTTTTTTTTTTGGTAAAATTCAGGTAGCATCCGTGACGAAAGAATATAATACGAATCGAAATGTGTTTTTTTTTTAAAAATGTGTTATTGTTAACGGATACAAACTATTGGAAAGTGAAGTCGAAACGCTAAGGTTGATTTTTTTTTTTTTTTTGAAAATTTAAGAGAATACGTTTTTTCCTACTATGGCAATTTGAGAACTTTTTTGTTGTAGGAGTTTATCAGTCAATTGTTCAATAAAAGATATATATATATATATATATATATATATATATATATATATATATATATATATATATAGTTGCATTGATATGAGTTTGTGAATCTGGGTTTCACGCACTTTGCAATCGTCAGACAAACACCGTTATATGTTAGCTCTATCGCTAATATTGAGCGCTTTCCAATAATTACCGCGCATATATCATATATGAATAATATATATAAAAAATTGTATATATATATATATATATATATGCTTATATTTATATACATGCACATTACATATATATATATATATATATATATATATATAATATTTTTTTAAAAAAAACGACAAGATCTGCCTGTTTCATTTTTTATTATACTTTCAGATCAGGGGTTGAATATTGTACTCGAAGTTGTGAATAAAATGTCCGAAGTGCTTTCAACTTTCGCAGTCATTATCAGGAACCAACGTGGTGTCTGCCTGGCGGTTAGAATTCCTTTGTCTGCATCCTGGTATTCTTAGGAAAGCTGGACGTTTGAAATGGTCTAGCGTGGGAACGAGGCTGCGCAAAAAGAATGCGATTTCATTTATTTATTATTTATTTTATTTTATTTTATTTTATTTTATTTATTGATTAATTTATTTCTTTTCTAATACTGATAAAATGTGTGTGGACATTAATTATATCATAAGCACTTCAAGATTCTATTTCCTGTGGTGAATGATATTTTATTTAATGTGGGCTGTTTATTTTGTATAGTAATGCAAGGAAAGACTCAACACACTAGAAGCTATTATGATACAAAATAAACACAAGGAATGGTATCTTGAAGTGCATATGATATAATTAGTGAGCGCGCATATTATATTAGTGTTATATACCGTACCTATGAGCACTAATAGGTATGTCCCAATACGTTATACACTATTGTAAGTGGGGTAATATGCTGTTTAACCGGGAAGCTCCTGTCGTGTCGAACTCTCTGCCTTAGGGCAGAAAGGGACCCAGACGAGGCTATGCCGAAGGGCAGAGTCTCGTCCTGGGAGATAGATACCCGATCTCGCGTATGAGGCATCTACGGGCAATTTCTGCCAGAGACCACGAGCTCGGATTTCTCCACATTAAATTTTGTGCCACATGCTATCTCGTTGGGGAGGCAGGTAAATATCGTAATATGCTGTCTAAGTAGTCCACCATTAGCTGTGGTTTACCTACATCGCGCCGCTGGCGAGTATTGTATTTTGTTGATGTTATAAAGATTACCATTTCATTTCCAACCTTCGTTTTGATTATTCCTCATTTAGTAACGCTTTCTAGGTTACAACAATTAGTATTGAAAATTAATTAATTAATTAAAATACATAAATAAATAAATCGCATTCTTTATGTACGGCCTCGTTTTCAATAGCTGTTAGACATGACGTCACGCGGGACCATTTCAAGCATCCAGCTTCCCAAAGAATACCACGATACCAACAAAGGAATTCTAACTACCACACAGACAACACATCGGTTCTTGATAATGACTGCGAAAGTCGAAAGTACTTGAACCAAAATAACAAAATATGAACTTTGGCCAGTTTATCCACCACTTCGGTCACAAGACAGACAGACCTTGTCGGCTATTTTTAATCAATCTTGTTTGGATAAATACTTGCTGCCTAAATATACCTTACGGTGAGGAGCGCATGAGCATACGCGCGCGAACGTACACACGCACGCATACATACACTATAAAAGAAAAACTTACAGCAATGTAATTTGCATATAAAAAAGAAAAATCGAACATCAATCAGCTAAGTGACCAAATATATATATATATATATATATATATATATATATATATTATGAAATGGACAAAGTCCGACAATTATTTTAAGACATTTTTATGTTTATACATTCTTTTTATAGATACAGATATTTAAGTAAATGCTCTGTTTATAATAAACAGCATTCAGGCCGGTAAATGTTGTTTAATACTGTTTATTATTAACAGAGCATTTACTTAAATATTTGTATCTATAAAAGAAGGTATAAAACATATATATATATATATATATATATATATATATATATATATATATATATAGATAGATAGATAGATATGAATAAAAATGACAATAAGAAAACTGGTAATTGCTGACGTTTCGTCCAATGTGGACTTTATCAAAGCAAAATACGAAACGAAGTTTTCCTATTGTCATTTTTATTCATAAATATTGTCTTCTCTACTGATTAAATCGGAGAAATTTTTATATATATATATATATATATATATATATATATATATATATATATTATGTCATTCGCAGACAGCAGTACTGTTTCACTGTATCACAGCTCTTTAGTGCAACTTGACATTTAAATGCCTCAAGCCAGGACTGAAACCTAACTGCTAACTGATATATATATATATATATATATATATATATATATATATATATATATATATATATATATAAAGCACGGTGGAGCCGAGTTTGAATTCACTCGAATCCACTCCATTCACTTACGTGCTAATATTTTCATGAAAGGTATGAATCCTCTTCTTCTCCCCCAGCTATGGGTAAATAGCAGGTCAGACTGGGTTCTATAGCCTTGGGTGGCATCTGGTCTAGGAGGAGAACAACTCTGAATTCAAAACCTGTAGAGCGTCGTTTGGGGACCCTGTGGCACGTAGTGCACCAGGTCTCTGTATTCGGCCCTTCAAAAAGTATGGATGGTCCTGCACAAAGCCTTTACCACTATAACCAAATCATATTTGCTAGTGTCTGGCTGTAGCTTCTTAGTAACAGAGTTGCTTGACCCTCATGCGACGGAAGAGTCCACCATATATATATATATATATATATATATATATATATATAGTTTTAAGCTATGCTATATTTATGAGCAATTTTTTCATTATCAGATATAGAGCATATGTAAGTATAAAACTGGATACTGAGGGTATTTTTAGTGCTATATATTGTACAGTGTAACCCGGATATAAGAGACCCGGATATAAGAGAAACCCGGATATAAGATACTTCTTCTCCGGTTCCGACAACTCTCTTATATCCGGGTTACACTGTACATATATTTGTATTTTTCATGCTGGGAATTCGTTTTTAGTTTTCGATTTTTAAATAAGATAGTAAAAATTTGTTTTCGTGTTAAGATTGTTTATTTAATAATTATTTTTTCCTACAGAGTTTAAAATTTCTGGATTTATTGTTGTAGGCTGGTGCTGTTTTCCCTTATTTTCCATTATATTTTTACTGTAATTTGGTGTTTGCTTTTAAATTAACCGTAAACTATAAACGGATACCTTGTAAAATACCATCACGAGAAATGCGAATATATGCACTATATACAGCTCAGATAAGGTAACATCCTTTAGACAAAGCAAATGCATTTGACTAAACAAATAAGATAGCAAACCCACCCCAAAATTAAAATAAACACAAAATGTAAATAAATGAATTAAATAATAAACACGCTGATTTATTTGTCTGTTTAACGACATATCAACTGCTTATGAGATATTTAATGCCGAAATTAAATTTTCTTGGGAGTTTTGAAGTAATAAAAATATGATATGTTATTCTGCTTTCACAATTGAATACATGGTAGATGATTCTCAGATTTTGTGCATATCCTTGTTTGTATGGACATAATTACGAGAATCGGTGATGTGTTGTTTTGTTGAAGTTTTATTTTGAAATACAGTTTGATTTAAGAAATTGTTGGATATTATATAGATTAATGTCATGAAAGAGTTTTTTCAGGTTGGTTGTTTGGCAGCATTTTTAACGGATTTGGGCGAAGTCGTAACAATTTGTTAGTATGTACAAAACAAATACTTTTGTCCAGAATGAATTAGATCATTATTTTCTGTGACAATACGCATTCCTTACTAATAACGTATTGTAAACAACGTCCTTTTTCAAGATTCTCAGGGTCCAAGTAATTCGGACTATACATTAATCGTCTTTTTCTTATCGTAGGGAAATGGCTAAGGTTGGGCATCTTGGTTTTGCTCAGTTTTACTAAATCCTTTCTCGTCAAATCTGGGTTTGACTCTTCTTAATTTCATTTTATTTTATTAAAACATAAATTTTAACGCATTTCGTTTTTAATT